GACACCGACAGGGGCCGGTAAGTTGTTCATTGAAATGATCGTGCAGTTTGGCAGATAGATGCTCACGCTAAATTGCGTTGTACGGGAATCGCTGCTCCGGGAGGCGTTTTTTTCGTTTAGCTGGAATCGATTTTGTTACAAGACGTGAAGAAAAACAGACAGCGTTGTCGAAGTGCTATTTATTGTTCCTGAACTTAATAGCGGGTTGAATAGTGGAGCTCGGTCCAGGTGGAAAATGGAAATTTGTACATGGCACTCGCTACTCGTTACCCCTCATGCAGACACGTGCTTTGCCTTTGTCAGGTTCGGTGCAGGCACACCAGCTTGCCCCGACACTGACGAGCCCGTCGCCCCTGATGCCGGCGAGGGGCCAGCCAGACCCGTCGATGCGGTGACCGCGGTACCAGCTGACGCTGTCGAGCAAGAGCGCGCACATTTCACTGGTAGGTGAAAGACAGGGCCGAAGCATGCCCTGCATTTTGAAAGCCGTTAGATTCGGAACCACGAATGGCAGCTCCTTCAACAGCTCTATATCTGGAGCCATTTTCCGCGCTGCTGGCGGATATTCTCGATCTCTAAAGCTTTACGGTACAGCATAACTTCAGGCGCTCGCTCTTCCTGCCATCTAGCGGAAGAAAAATGTCGCGGGCCGCGGCAGTAGAATCACCATTCCGTTCCTCTCTGTTGACTAGCATGTCAGCACAACATTCGTCGGTGTTTTTTTTTTTCAACCGCTTATTCTAAGCAGTAACCGACGGCACACTCTGGAGGACTGATTGGTGTTTCGGTTCTCCCTCCAGGTACTGCATCGCAGTGTCGCCACCATGCACGGAGGACGCCAGAGGACGGCCCGTCAGTCTCCAGCGCGCTGGGCCGGCACGGGTCACACGCTCGGTGAAGTAGCTGGCCTGCGCACGCAGCTCGACATCATCTGTGGTGTCATCCCAGCCTTTCTTCAGATCATTCACTCGCCGCTTCAGCCACGCCGCCGCCGGCCGCAGTCATCCGGCCACGGAGGAGATAAGTGATAGGCCGACCACACCACAAGAACAGTGCTCTCCGTGTAAATATCACGACCGGAAGTGCGCGAGCTACTGACTGGGAGACGGCGCTCGCGCTGACGCTGTTTCCTCGACGTTTATGCAGCTCCTGGCGAGGTGACCGGTCTTGCTGCAGGTCTAGTAACGCCGTGCCCGGTCCGCCGTGGACCGTGGCGACCCGCTGGTCTGACCGACCCGCCGGTGTCTTGGCGTCTCACACCCGCTGCTGCCGAGAACACGTTCGTCACTCAACACTGCCCGCGCCAGGATGCTGGCCAGATCCAGGCCTTCTGTGCGCGTGTCGGCCCGAATTGTGCTGCTAGCGGCGTCTGGTAGCCCGGCGATGAAAGCACTGGCGATGAAAGCAGTGCACCTACCCGAATGCAAGCCGAATGCAGCAAAAGATGCTCCTCCAAGTGTGGAAACCGAGCGTCGTGCGCGCTCCAAATTTTAATACAACCAATTTTTGCAGGCTTTTGACTTTGAAAATTTCACCGGCGCAGTTCGCACAGTTACGGAGCAATAACCCGCCAACAGAGACAGACTCACATACATCCATACATAGTTTTAGAGTTTTATAATAGTAATTTAATTTATAAGAGTGAAAAGAAATAACCTCATGCTCATTAATATCGAAATTAAAAATGTTAATCCAGAATATATTTTTGTGAATGTCACTTCGTCGGTGGATTAATATGCAAAATTGATGGGAAAGCTAAGCAAAGTGTTTCGTATCCTTCGTGTCGTGAATGTCACCGACCGAAGTGACATTCACGAAAATATATTTTTGATTAACAATTTTAATTTCGATATTAATGAGCATGAGGTTATTTCTTTCCACTTACAACGTTAACTATGCTCAAAAGAACGTTTAACTTTATTAAACAAAAGTAATTTAATTTGATAAAACTCATCTCGTCCATCGGCACGGAAGTGCCAAAACCACAGCAGCACACCTAAAATTGCCAGATAGCCAAAAACTCAGCAGTTACAGGAAAAATTCGTTTTGTCCATTCCATGTCGTAGACTATATATTCCGTGTCGGTACTAAGTTGGCGCAGACCCCCGTCGGTGCGCGTGTTAACAATTTTTCTTTCAAAATACCGATCCATTTATGGAATGGCCAGCTGACTGTGACGCCCGGAACCTGCAGAAAAGCCGTTTTTCTATCGCCATTTTCGAGTGATTTCGCCAAATTTGATCAAATCGCGTTGATTCCTAGTGGAAAATGGAAGCCTTTTCTATGCGATAAGTGGACGCGATACCGCAAGTACCGGCTTGTTATCCCGTTTTTCACCCTTAGTAGCGAGGGCTACATTTATGCCCATATATGGGCATCAAAAGTCCATTTATTGACCGATCCATTTTTGGATCTTCGCCTCGTAGTTTCCCCAACTCAGATGTGCGCACGTTTAACTTTGGACTCCAAATTCTGTCATAGAGCCGGAATTGCGGGATCGGAGGGTAGAGGGCAGTCAACGCAACAAGCTTCGCTTAGCGGGGACTCTGTCATTGTAAATCCTTCCATTCATAAGGTTCGGACAAAATAAAAAAATGCCAATATTAATTAATACCCTTACGCCGTATTCAGCGGGCGGATGAAAATTTAACATCGAGATAAGAGGCCAGTTTTACCAACAGAAAAAAATGCCGGCTGCCCGTATCTATTTCTCTAAGTCTTCCAAAACAAAATTTAACCACAAGCAAAATGACCGATGGTTTGAAAAGATAATTGCTAGGCTGGCTAATACTTTTTCACATTAGCGTTTTTTTTTCGCTTGGCTGGCAAAATTCGGGGATGACTTGCAGCAAAACGACCGTAGTCTGCGATTTCTTGCTGTTAAAACTGGTTTAGGTCACAATATCCACAATATAAGACACCATATTCACATAGGCGGCGGAACGGGGAGGGCACCGGAGCACCGTGCCCCCTTTCATTTTGACATTTTTACATTAGCCCTATGGGCGTTGCATGGAAAGAATAGGACCAAAAGTCGGCAGTGCCCCCCCCCCCCCCCTGATTGAAGGTGTTCCGCCGCTACTGCACATTCAATATTCATGCACTTACCGAGCACAATTTACAACAGAATATTTGAGTGTTTAGCAGTGCATTATCTTTCAGAATTTTGAGTGAAAAAAATCACACCTAATGGGGAAAATCTTCTCATTAAAAAGGAATAAATAAGAAGTGATATCAATTCATCTTTCAAAAAATGCTTCATCCATTCTGATAGCCAGGTTACAGATGAGTTGAAAGTTAATGCAAAAGCTTCAGATCCTGGCAAGATCATGATACAAAATCCTGTAGTATAAATTGGCGTTAAATATGACGTTACACCCGCTTTCGAAATATTACAGGCATTTACTTCCTTTTTTATCCTTTTTTTTTGCTCGGCACACCCAACCAAAATCTGATTGTAGGACGCTGGGCCGGCAAGAAATTATTGACTACACGCTGAAGCCAAAACTCATGTGAAGCTTCGATAATGAACTTGTAGCCAACCTCCTTTGAAAAAAAACGATATATTCAATTACACGAGTCGAAAAAGCGAGCTTTCACAAAACATGCCGCACAGTGTGACTTGTGAGTGCTTTCAACAGCTTTTTCTGACGCAATATTAAGTGTCTCACAGAAAATTTCAGCTTTCGGAAAACCGACCTGACACTACAAAACTTCAAAACTACGTTAAAAGCGCAAGGGTGGGAATCGGCTAGCAAAAAGGTTCCAACCCAATAGATAGGCTTCAAGTCGAAGGTGTGTATTCGAGGCCTTGTTCCGACCATTTATCAGTCCTTCCATTCAATAGGGTTCTTATATATATGTATAAGATCTCTATTAGTGCGTCTTGGTCTTAGCCCTAGGCCAAAAAATAGCCTGAGGTACGAAAAAAAAATCATCTTCCAGTACGATTCTCATTTCGTAATGTAGGTATTTACGAGTATTGTCTGGTATAGTGTAGACAAGCTAATAAAAATGAACCACTTGATGAACTGGAGCTACTATCACCTACAGACAGTGGGATGCATAAAAATCGTCTTCCTTGTCCTAGGATTGATTAGTGCTGCGTGTTTGGTATATATCAAATAGGTATCGCTATCAAGCGGCGTTTCAGCACACATTAGCGGTTTGCAGTTTGCTTTGAAATCAGATCTGCAGCCACTTCCCAGGGCAGTAACGTGAATCAAGTCAACTTGAACTCTCAACAGAGTTGCTTAAGAAATTGTGTGAACTGTGAACAGCAGGTAAGTTTTCAAGCTTTTTGGTTTTCACTGAAATTTATTGGAAGGGCTCCGATGAATAATTACGGGATTGCGATACCCAATCTATTCTTACCACACCAACACAGCGTCGTTGTCATAGGCTATGTTATAATTGTAGGCCATATGTAATAATACCAAAATTATTGGTAGGGCTCGGGCACTACCAGGCCTATATAAAACGACTCCCATGAAAATTTTACACTTACAGTTCGTCTCACTTGCATATTTGGTTGTTCGCCACAAACCGTAAGGCAATACAAATTGCCCGAACGTCTCGCTGGTGAACTAAGAATCGCCTGAGTCTCAGAAGAAAAAAAAACACGTCAAAGCCTCCAAAGAAAAAGTATTTGCGAAAATTGTGAAGCAAGCATGACCTGGATAAGTGTATCAAATACTTGGCATCACAAAGCGAGAGGATAATTTCCGTAAGAAATACGACCAAAGGATCAGATATTAATTTAAAAAATCATCATGGATCAACCAGGCTCACCGATTTCAGAAAAGCATGGCGAGATGTAGAAATTTGAAATCCTTATCAACTTACGGCTGTTTGTTTCGTCCACTCCAGTCCAACGGTACCACACAACTAATCAGAAAAGGCCGACGCCATTGACGCTTACCGACCACCAGAACAGAATTTGACTATGTTTCATACAGGCAATGACACTATCTATCGATCTAATTCACCTTCTTACTCACTGCACAGAAAAACACCACAATAATCCAGCGAACGTCCCTCCACTCAGTCCAGCACGTCCGCCCGCTGCGAAGTAAACCCAGATGAAACGGCTGCGGGCTCACGCGACGACCCCGCATATCCCTGGCAGCCATTACAAAACCCAGTGTGGGTCGGTTCCTCAGCTCTGGCGCAGAAGGCACTGCACTGTATTGAACACGCGGGCGGCCGGGCCGCGCGGCGCGCAGGGACGTGGCGCTGTTCAGGCGGGCTCCATCAAGCTTGGGAAATGCCAAATGCTGGATTTTCGTGAATGAGTTCCGTAAATATGATGAAAAATCCAAAGACTAAGCTTTTTAACTAAGCTTTTTGTATAAATCAATGATTCAACTGGCAACTAACGTCCTTGGCTTCTGAAACGATGAGTGAGGCTAAATTGCGGTTGGGCACGGAACGTGGGTGCTAAATACATGTTGATGCTTATTTATGATTATATTATCAAGAAATGAAACAAAATTTACTATTGTTAAAAAAACTTACGGTTCCTAAGACATACCCTAGTGTTCCCCATAACGAGCATTTTCGCTTGTTATTAAAGCCAAATGATTTTGAGGTAGATATTTGGGTTTTATTCATCATTCATGGAAGTTATGATAAATAATCACTCAAAAGAGATAACAGCATTCTAAAATACTTTAAGCTAATGCTATTTATTAGCGAGCAGTCCTTGTCACATTGGGTAATGTTAAATGGACTCGGTCACTACCACTACTAAATCACTGATTCACGAACTGACTATCAAGAACAAGCGCGATTGGTTTGTGACGATTGGTTTGCACGTTTGCACACTTAGTTTTGAATTGTTTGAATAATTTAATTTTTGTTAGCAGCTTTTCTTATTCTAGATGAAGGATGAGTTATCTGTGTCAATGTGTAGGCCTGGGCAAGAGCGTTAAACACATGCAAATTAAAACATTGAGTATTTAGCATTGAGCAATGCGATGGCATTGTAGCTGTAGCTGTGATGGCATTGTAGCGAGCAAGTAGCTGTGACATTGCTACTTATATTGTCCTGCGTAGCAATTCGACGTTTTTGAGATTATCTTTTACCAACGAGTGGTTTAATTTAGGCGCTTTATTTCGTACCGCCACAGCCTTAAAAGTGTTGTGGTGTTATTGAGTTTCCTTTTTTGTCTGTTGGTGTGTTAATGTTTGTATGTTATGCAGTAAGCATTATTACAGTGTCGCAAAAAAATTGTCTAAAACAGAGCTACTCCCAGGCATCGGTAGGATTGTGATTGCAGGATTGCAAAATCCTGATTGCATTCCTTTTTGGTGGATTGCACCTGGATTTGAAATCCATTCCAAAAAACAGGATTTGATTGCGGATTGGATTGCATCATACTTCCAATTTTTGCAATCCAATCCGGATTGTGTTTGATTAGTGCTTTGAAATGGTTTGTTGCGATTGAAAATTATGAGATCGGCTTCATCGGCTCACTGGCGGATCCAGGGTGTCAGCGCGGGGGGGGCATACCAGGTCACGGAGCCAAACCTAGGGTACCCCCAAATCCTGTTTTCTCATCGGATTTAGGCCACTTATTTTTCGTCATAGCCCTGACACGAGTTTTTTTTTCTAAAAAAAAAAAAAAACAGAAATGGTAGGACACCTGACCCCCATTGGCAGATCCAGGAGGAGGAGGCTTTTGGGACAAACACCCGGGCAGCGCCAGAAATCGACGAAAATTGGTGGGGCCGGTGGGGCCCTCAGAATGACTGGTGTAGGTAAAGAGCCGACCCAGGGTCGCCGGTGTGGAACCTTAAGAGGTACTGGCGTGGGACCATCAAAGGTATCGGTGTGGGTTCCCCAGAGGCAGTGGTGTGGGGCCCTCAGAGGCACTGGTGCAGGAACCACAAAGGAGCCGGTGTGGGCCCTCTAAGGTGCTGGTGTGAGGCCCTCACATGGACGCCGTTGTGGTGCCTCAGACACTGGTGTGGCGCTAAGCCCACACCATTCACAGATGGCTGTGTGTGGGGCCCTTGGAGTGGTTGGTGCGAAATGCGAATGCTTAATAACCCAGTAGGACCTCTCAGAGACCGACAAAGGGCCCTCAGAGGCCGGTAACGGGCCGTATGATGCCAACAATGGGCCTTCACAGGCCGGCAAGTGAGGGCCGGCAGTATCTTCAGGAGCCCTGTGGAGTCCTTAGAGATCGGCATGGTACTCTCAGACGCCGGTGGGGCCCTCAGAGTCACCGGTGTTACCGGTGGCTGACTGCCAGAGGCATTGGTGTGGGGCCCCAGAGGCGCCAGTGTGGGACCCTCAGAGTCGCCTATGTGGGACCTCAGGAGACACTGGTGTGTCAGAGGTGGCGGTGTAGGGCCCTCAGACGTGTCTGTGTGGTGCCCTCTCAGTCGCCGGTGAAGACTTTCAAAGGCATCGTTGTGGGAGTCCTCACTCCTCAGAGACACATGCATGGGGGCAAGGGGTCTTCAAGAGACCAGCAAGGGCCAGCAGAGGCCTTCAGGAGCCCTGTGGGATCCAGGAGACCGGCGTGGTACTCTCAGGCGTGGGAGCCCTCAGAGTCACCAGTGTGGGGCCCACAGAGTTGCAGGTAGGTAGCCGTCAGATGCGCCTGTGTAAGACCTTCAGAGGCGCCAGTGTGGGGCCCTCAGAGCGGCCGCCGATGTAGGGCCTTAAGAAATATTGGTGTTAGTCCCTCAGATTGGCGGTGTTGGGCCCTCAAAGGCGCCAGTGTGAGACTCTCACAGGCGCCGTTATGGGCCCTCAGAGGCACTGGTGTGGAGCCGTTCCATGCGGGTATGGGTCAGGACCCTAATTAAAGCTGAGCTGACGCTTAATGGGTCAGCAAGGTCACTCAGAGGTCAGCACAGGGCCCTCAGAAGCCGGAGTGGGGCCCTTATGGAGATGTGTGATGTGTGGCGACTCAGGAGGCCGTGACTCCGTGAGGTGCTCTCACGAGTCCTGCGGGTCTTATCTCAGTCGAAATAAGGCATGCTTGGACCCTGAGCGGCCAATTGGCACTGCAGGGCCTCTCGGGCCCATAGGGCACCATGCATCTAATGAGGCGGCACGCGCCCCTTGTGCCCCCCCCCCCCCCCGGTTACGCTGCACTGGCTGCGGCCATACTGATAAAGGTAAATCATATTCTAACCGTCCCTATTCTCAAGCATAGGCGGCGGCCGATACCTGGTTTGCGCAATATGAGTGCCATCGTTAGACAATACGGTCAAAAGTGTTGAAGCGGCATGACTCCCCTGTGGTAAGAACTAAGAAGCAACATACTTACAAAATAAAGCAATGACAACTAAATTGAGGCTACTAAAACGACTCTGATCACAAAAGTAGTTACTAGGAAGGATTTCTAATCCATTTTTATTTAGTTCCTCGTTATAGGCGTAAGAAGTGTAAGTCTGAACGGGGGGGGCATACTTGTACTGAATGCCCTCCCCAGGCTCCTGTCGGGGGGGGCATATGCCCCTAATGCCCCCCCCTGGATCCGCCAGTGCATCGGCTTAATGTATTTTGCTATCAAGGGCTTTACATCAAAACTTGAAATATTTTAAACGCTTTTAATTTAAACGCTCAAAATAATATATGCTGATGAACTACATAGGAAGGGCAAAATTACGTATTTGAGGGCGAGTTTTAAAAACATAAAACACTGGTTGGGTAGAGGTTTAAATGTGGGGGTGTTTGAGGCAAAAAATATTTCCCATAAAATACCTGTGCCTTAGATAGGAATTACTCGCAAGACTAGGTACCTATTAGAAATGGGTGATTTGGGGATGGAGGCACGGCCCTATGCCCCCTCCCTCCCTCAGATCCACTAGCACATAATAATACAACAGGATTGCAAAAAAGGATTGCGGATTTGATCACAATCCAAGTGAAAAAAGGGGATTGCGGGTAGGAATGCAATCCACTTCGGCACTAGGAATGTGGATTGGGAATGCAATCCTTTCAAAAAGGATTTTACCGATGCCTGGCTACTCCTAATTCTTTTAAGGATGCAGCGTTCACAACGCATGACAGAATACATCAACCGTGTACTAATAAACATATTAAAGCGTTTATTTTTCGTCTATTATAAAGAAACTATATTTCAGGTCTATAGTAGCTATAGTTCGTTTTTTCTAAGTTCGACCCTCACTGTAAACATCTTTTTGAACATAGCACGAGAATTGCTAGCTGAATTACTTAGAAAACTGGTTAGCGCACATTGTACTGGAGACATGAATAATATTTTCCAAATAAGTTTTTAACACCGATATAATATACTGTTCTGTTAAACGCCGTGCGATCTATTGATCAGTTCAGCTATAATTTCTGACAAGACGTCTTTTCCTGTGGGGTTGTATGTAAAAGCAAATGCGAGCTAAGAGTCTGGAAAATAAGAGGCAGGAAGAAAAAAATTTGAGTACAATTAATCGCCTGTGAAATCAGTGTGCCCCAGCCAGTTTTCTCAGTAATTCAGCTAGCAATTCTCGTGCTGTGTTCAAAGAGACGATTACAGTGAGGGTCGAACTTAAAAAAACGAACATTTTTATAACTTTTATCTAAGGTCTCATAATGCTTATCAAACATTTGCGTATACTTAACTATAGTCTGGTAAACCTAAGAAAGAACGGAATTAAAGCACCTGAATCACTTTGTATGTATTTTAAGCACTTGAAATGTATCACTTGGAGAAAGTTGCGTGAAAAGTTGTGAGAGAAAATAATAAATATGCTCTCACAATATAAATGCACATGCATCAATGACCGCAGTACTTTAAATCCATTCTTTCTTAGGTTTGCCACAGCCAGACTATAATAACTTCTATTTTATCGATCTTTTTTATAAGGTCTGCTAGGGCATAACCCTTCAGCAAGTTACGTCTAGGTACTATAGTCTGTATTTAACGATGGCATGCTCTATACCTGATTTTTTTCCAGAGAATATAATACTTCACGTTGACCGCGCTATGATATTTTTTTTTCAAATAAAAAGAAAGCATCGCCTCATCCGATGACTTCTAGAATTTCACTTTTTGCCTTACGCGGTCTAAAATTTTTGACGAGCTTTCGGATCATATTCGAGTTTTTAAGCTCAAGGAACAA